AAATTTGGAGACCTGTAAAGTACTTATTACTACAAAAGTGTTTTTATGTTTATTTTATTAAATAGTTAAAGCTACGACACAATATTTAAAGAGAAATTTGAAAAAAAATTTATGTTCATATTGCCTAAAGTTGGCATCGAACGTCTAATAAAAATTATGTTCATATTGCTTAAAGGTGACATCGAACGTCTAATAAAAAATTATGTTCATATTGCTTAAAGGTGACATCGAACGTCTAATAAAAATTATGTTCATATTGATTAAAGGTGACATCGAACGTCTAATAAAATTATGTTCATATTGTTTAAAGGTGACATCGAACGTCTAATAAAAAATTATGTTCATATTGCTTAAAGGCGACATCGAACGTCTAATAAAAAATTATGTTCATATTGCTTAAAGGTGACATCGAACGTCTAATAAAAATTATGTTCATATTGATTAAAGGTGACATCGAACGTCTAATAAAATTATGTTCATATTGTTTAAAGGTGACATCGAACGTCTAATAAAAATTATGTTCATATTGATTAAAGGTGACATCGAACTTCTAATAAAATTATGTTCATATTGCTTAAAGGTGACATCGAACGTCTAATAAAAATTATGTTCATATTGCTTAAAGGTGACATCGAACGTCTAATAAAAATTATGTTCATATTGATTAAAGGTGACATCGAACTTCTAATAAAATTATGTTCATATTGCTTAAAGGTGACATCGAACGTCTAATAAAAAATTATGTTCATATTGCTTAAAGGTGACATCGAACGTCTAATAAAAAATTATGTTCATATTGCTTAAAGGTGACATCGAACGTCTAATAAAAATTATGTTCATATTGATTAAAGGTGACATCGAACGTCTAATAAAATTATGTTCATATTGTTTAAAGGTGACATCGAACGTCTAATAAAAAATTATGTTCATATTGCTTAAAGGTGACATCGAACGTCTAATAAAAAATTATGTTCATATTGCTTAAAGGTGACATCGAACGTCTAATAAAAATTATGTTCATATTGCTTAAAGGTGGCATCGAACGTCTAATAAAAATTATGCTCATATTGCTTAAAGGTGACATCGAACGTCTAATAAAAATTATGTTCATATTGCTTAAAGGTGACAACGAACGTCTAATAAATGCAAAACAAAACTCGGTGGCTATCTTTTTCAATCTGTAAATTTGTGAAATTGTTTTGCAATATTTTAGCCAAGGAAATATACATTTTTAAAAATACCAGTTTATAACCACAATAAAATTTAAAAATTAATTAAAATTTAATTTAAATTTGTCTCTAAGAACAATTTTATAAATTATTGTTTAAAAAAATTAAAGGAAAATGATTTCAAAAAACATATTTTTTTAAGTTAATAAACTGCCTACTCGAAGCAAAAACTCTCAGTAGATGTAGCGGTACTCCATGCATATTTTGTTTTCGGCACTATTCAATTAACTCTTTTGCGACACTATTCTTTACTCTATTTTACGACACTATTCATTAAATTTGCGACATTATTCCGTATTCTTTGTTTTGACAATCAAAAAATGCAACAATTACTTATTGCGACATTCAAAATTTGGAGACATTATAGCCACTACACCTGTAAGTAGTTATTTACCAAATAAGTGTTTTTTATGCTAATTTTATTTAAATAATTAAAGCTATGACACAATATTTAAAGAGAAATTTGAAAATAGTTTATGTTTTAAAATTTGTGTTCGCATTGCTAAGGTATCGTCAGCCGAAAACAAAAACTGACGGTAAAGATTAAAACTTGATTTTCTCGGAAACACAAAAAATGGACATACGGCCACTTGATTCTCGGCTGACAGTATGTCTGAATTGTTGCTATTACTATTCAGTACAGAATAAGAAAAAAGTTAAACAATTTTAAAAACTTTTTCAAAAGTTTATACTCGTTATTTTAATAACTTAAAAAAAGTTTTCAATCATTTCTAATAATTAAAAAAGAAAATTTTAATCCAACATTGTATAATATTATTATGTTGTAGCAACCTATTAATATTGTTTAACTATTTAACATTAATTTTTTTTTTGAGAAAGAATGATGTTTTTGAGAAATTTTTTCATTTTGAGCTTACGGTAAGCCATTAAAGTATGATTCAAGATTTCAAGTCAGAAATAAGAAAGTCAGTTGTAAGAAATGTTTCCTCTGCCTTTTATTTAGTAGCCTCCTCGTCTGTAGTGGCCTTCTCGGCCTTAAGGAGGTGAATAACAAAAAAAAAAAAAAAAAAAATATGGCCATTAAAACATGCCAAAACAATCAAATATTAACTTTTTTCAGTTTTTCAACCATCGGTTAGTTTAACAATAGCATCCGTTTTCAGAGAGACGATATAAACCAGACGCTTCCAAAATAAATAACGTTCAACTGAATTGACATCTTTTTAGACTAGTTCCAACCTAAAAAGAAGCATTGTATTTCGATTAATGGGGTAGAAATGAAAATTGGCACTGATTTTGATTGACATTTAAATGACCCATGCAAAACAATCAACTTTTATGCGCTTATTTATATTAAAGCTCATTTAGTTCATTAAAAAACTTTTTTTTTTGCTTTGCCGGTGCAAAATGCTCAAAAAGTTCAATTGACCTCAACAACTTATTATTAAAACTTATTACTGAAAAATAGGAACAAAATTTCATCTAAACCTCTTTAAATAGTTTTTTGATTCTTTAATTTAGTTTAAAAAATCAGAGATCTTTTCAAAAAACATAAACCAGAGATCCTTAAAAAATCTTTTTAAAGATCAGAGATCTATTTAATATTGAAATGTTTACAACTCAGCTATTTTATTGAACTATTCTTTTTTGATTAAGTGCCCTAGTTTACTTTCTGTTACCTGTTACTTAGCTGTTCATCTTGTCAAATAGAAGCTCAATTTGATTAATAATATATGAAGACCATAGTAGTTTCTTCAAAACAGTAATTTTTCAACTTCAATTGCTATTTTCTATTCAACAAATTCTACCCCACCCCCTTTGTTTCACTACATTTATTACACAACTTATATTCCAAAACATGTTACTGAAAATTTTTAGTTTATTTATATTGAAAAATCGCTCTTTAATGCTTATTTATAATTGATTGTTTATAATGAAAACGTAACTGAATTTGCTGACTCAATTTTACTATCTTTACGTAACGAAACCTTTTAGAGAATCATAAATTTTATAGTTACCTATAAAAAATATATAATTTTATAGTTATAATACAACTTGTCTTCTTTTAAATTTCACCAAGTTTTGTATTATTGTAATTTTAACAAAATGAAAATAAATAAAATATAGAAAAAAATATAAATACAAAATCTTATAGTTTACAGGCAAAAAATAAAAAAATAATATATATATATATATATATATATATATATATATATATATATATATATATATATATATATATATATATATATATATATATATATATATATATATATATACATATATATATATTTAATATATATATATATATATAATCAAAAGTATGTTAACTTCGTTCTTAAATATAAACATATCGAAAAAATCTTTTTATATCAATGCTGAACTTAATAATTTTAGTAGTAGTAGTTTTAGTAACAGTAGTACCCTTTCGAGCGTGTTTGACGCAGAACTCTTGGCGGCTATTGCGACCGAGGTAATGGAGAGACATTTTTTTTTATAAGAAAATGTGAACAAAAGTCTATGCAAATATCTAACTTATATAAAATTTAAACTGTGTAATGTAAATACATATATCAAGTTTTACAGTTTTACTTTTACTTGAAAACTGCATAGCGGAAGCATCTTTAACGTTGATTTATAGAATTAACAGGCTGTTTTATAGTCTTTTGTTTATTAAATACTGTTAAAACATTAGCTGTTTAAGATACCTATATGGCCGATAATGAAGGATCCAGGAATTTTTGGTAAAAGATTGGGGGAAGGGGGAGGAGTTGTTTAAATATTTTTGTATTTTTATCACATTTGCGTTTCCTAAAAAAAAATTATTTACTTTCAAAGATATTTTAGGAGTTTCAGGGGGAGATGCATACGCCTATACCCCCCACCCTCCTGCATCCGTCTCTGGTGTCCGAAGTGTTTGCAATGTAAAGCTCCGTTGTTCAAGACCAATCATTCCTTTTTTGTTTGTTTTTTTTCAAATTTTTTTCGATTTTTAAAACGCAAAATAAAACACTTTTGATTTTTTATTGATATTATATATAGCATATATGAAGATATCATATATTATAACAAACAAAAGGGAGATAGTTTTCAAAAAAGTTCATTTGCTGTTTTATAAAGTTTTTTGTTTGTTAAATAGTTCAAAGTTAGCTCGCAGAGTTTCTTAAATGTATCGCTGTGGATCGAATCCTACCACTTACTCATTATTTTTTTCTTTTTCAATTTTTTAAAATACAAAATAAAGTTCTATAAAATTATATGCATAACATATATAAAGATATCATATACTATATCAAACTTAAATTTTTTTAAAAAATCATAACACTGGGAGAAATTTGTTGCACATGTCATGATAGAGATACTAATGTTATTAATGTGCTCAGGTAATTAGTCTTATTAAGCTATGGATGGTCTGAAAAAAAATTATGGTCTGCAACTTAATAAGGAAAAAATTAATAAACCAGTCCTAATTTAACAAAAAAATTAAAAAAAAAACTTTATTTTGTAATTTTTTCTTATATATATATATATATATATATATATATATATATATATATATATATATATATATATATATATATATATATATATATATATATATATATATATATATATATATATATATATATATATATGGATAAAGTAAAAGTATAGAAAATGTCGGTGTAGAATAAACTTACAAAGACCGGGTCCGGTTAGCTTCTTTAAAATTTAAACTTTTATTTTAAATTTTACTACATTAAAATCTAAAGTTTACTGATTAAGTTTTAATATAATTTAAATTTTACTAACAATTATTTTTCTTTTTAGCATAAACTTATTGAAAAATGAAACTGATTTATTTTGTTGTATTAATTTTAAAAACGATTGTTGCTTTGAAAAAAGAATCGAGTAAGTTTTTTTCTATTTTAATATTTTCTGTTATTGCGGATAAGTATTTACTTTTTTAAATATAATATTTTAATCACAAAATTTATTAGATAACATCAAAAAAGAGATACTCGATGAAGAAAACTCTTATGAAAGCAAAATCTGCTATTTACCAGGTTGTGTTTTAATTAGAAGAAGAATTTAAAAACATTGATAAAAAAAAGTACAAAACGGTTTATACAAATAATGAATCATATAAATAATTTCTTTAAATACTTTAAATAAAATTTTTTGAATTCAGCGCGTTGTCCAGTTACACTGCCTTCATTAATTACAAACGACACACTCGATACACGTTGCTCAAACGCGAGAGTAGTGGATATTGCTCGAGCTAGGTCTTGGTATAAAATTACAGATGAAAACGAACCTTCCAATTCAGAATTTCCCTTAAAAAATGTACCTTTTTTAAACCAACCTTATCAAGACGTCCTGTTTGCTGCAGTACTCAACCCAATGGAATCTTCCTGGCTGATTCTCTACCAAACCTGGACAGCTAGTGTAATGAGCAAAGCTGCAGAAAACATAAAAAAAACTTTTTCAAAATTTAAATTTGATAACATTGAGACGTACCACCAACTAAAACTTGCTTTTGATAATGTAGTTAGGGTATGTGCATTACTTATTAGGTATTGCTTGATTATTAAGTTAAATAAAGTTGGCTTTATAAACTTAACCAATATCTTTTTATAAAAATATTTATTATAAAAAGATTTAGTAGTTACCTAAAAAAGAATTAATGTTCATTTATCATTAACAAGTTTCTTGTCTCTTATTTTTATTTTTATTTTCAAAGACACTTTTTTTGATATTAAACACCCATACACTTTGATCCTCGTTCTTTACATTAAAAATTAAAAAAACATATATATAATATCTTTTTCTAATATATATATATACATATATATATATATATATATATATATATATATATATATATATATATATATATATATATATATATATATATATATATATATATATATATATATATATATATATATATATATATGTATATATATACATATATATATATATATATATATATATATATATATATATATATATATATATATATATATATATATATATATATATATATATATATATATATATATAAAAGTAAAGTCTCAAAAAAATAATAATAATAATAACCTGTTGCGATCTTTAATTACTTAAAATATATGTAAATTGTATGTTTTTATTTTTAAATAACATTTTTAGTCGTTAAAGGCACCTATGTATTTTGATAAACCCAGTCTTTATCGAGAAACATTTACTGACATAACTGAAAATGAGCTTTGGAAATCAAATAAAATTTTTGCTCAAAGAAGGCTTGCTGGATCATGTCCCTTTCATTTACGTAAAGTAACACGAAACGGTAGGTTTGCAACTGTTTATATTTTTTACAACATTTGCCTTGACCATGTTTTACAATTGTGTAATTGTGTAAATGATTAAATTTATTTAGAGGAAATTGGTTTCCATGAAAGCACATTGCTTGAATTGTTGAACAAAGACTATGACTTTGACGAATATATTCGCTCGGCAAGTGAAGGCTCAATATTATCACTTAATGAGGTTAGTTTTTTAGTTAACAACTTTTTTTTTTTTATACATATATATATATATATATATATATATATATATATATATATATATATATATATATATATATATATATATATATATATGTATATATATATTATATATATTATCCTAAATATATATATATATATATATATATATATATATATATATATATATATATATATATATATATATATGTATATATATATTATATATATTATCCTAAATAAATTGTAGGCTGTGGAGCAAGGAAGTCTTTTTGTTTTATATCATGAATCATACAATGACATTGAAACTATTCCTGATGTTTCTGATAAAGATACATCAAATAGAAGACCGTTGATAAAAGTCACATCGCCAATAACGTTATTTGTATTAGTTGAAAGAGAACTAAAAGTTGCAGCAATTCAAATAGATTACAAACCAAGTTTGTTATTTTCAATTTACAACTTATTTTAAATTGTTATAAATATTATTTTTTCAATAACTTTTAAATAGGTTCACCCGTTTATACCCCATCATCATTGGAAGATAAATGGCTGCTTGCAAGAGCTATGGTAGAAATTTCAGATCAAGATATTTGCGATAGTAAAGTACATTTAGGATTTATTCATTTTCATTCTACTATATTTTGTTTGACGTTTCGGAGACATTTAAGCATACAACATCCTCTGTACGATTTTTTTCAATGGCATTGCGTTGGTACAACTTCTCACATAAGTCTTTCATATCATGCTCTGGTTGCAAATAATTCGATGGGGCATAGGCTTTTTGCCATGGGTCATAATGGATTTATAAAGCTATCAAAACAAGCATACGAGGAAGCTTACTATGGTCAATATGAGTTTGAACCTCACTTAAGGGTACGTTGTTAAAGATAGGCGTGTGTTATTAGAATTTATAAATAAAATTATAATCTTAGTTGGTAAAATATACTATAATAGAAAATGAAAAAGAACTCCGATTTTGTAATCAATGCTTAATTTTTTTTATGTCAATTTAACTTAGAAACAAGGGCTATTCGATCTTCAAGTAGATTATTACCCGTTTCGAGAAGATGGAAAAATTATTAGTGAAGAGCTTTACGATTTTAGTTCAAGTTTCATCGACCTGCAAGTGTTTAAATTTAACACACACATACATACATACACACGCGCGCGCGTACACACATATTTTTCTTTTATTATCTTGGATATATCATTATTTATATTATAGAATAAAATTACATTATTTTAAATGTGTAACTCTAATTTGCAGGTATTACGATAATGACGCCCAAGTACAGTCTGATGCAGAACTACAGAGCTATGCAAACGAGTTATCCATTACTGGTAAACTAAAACCAGACGGAGGTAAAGGAAAGGTAGATGTAAAAAATAATTTTTTTGTTATTAATAATTAATTAAGGTATTAATAAATATAAACTAAGGTTAGTTATTTTTTAGGTTAAAGACTTTCCAGACACATTTATCTCAAAAGATCAGTTAGTCACATTTGTTTATCGATTTTTATGGTTTAATGTAATACATAGTTCTTCGAACTATGCTGCTTCTCATACATTTATACCAGTTCGACCAACTAAACTTTATTCAGATCCTGAATTTGTAGATAGCTACCCACATAACTTGCCTTCTCTTGAACTTGCTGTAGTAAGTTGTTTAAATATTTAGATTACTGTTTGTGATCCTTGAATATAAAATGAATCTCAGCCTTTATAGTTACTTTTTTAATTATCAATTAACAGTATAATATTGCAAAAAACTTTAATAACCTGTAAAAAATATTATTCAAAATTTTTATGAGAAGTAAATGAGCAATTTGCATGGGTATAATAACTTTTTTAAAAGGAATAATATTTTCTACAGATCACTTATAAAATCGATTTTTTACGGGTATTTTTATGTCTACTACAATGCTAAAAAGACTTTCTAATCTAAAGTTAAGCACCATGCTACAATATATTTTTATTCTATATTGTTTTAATTACTAAAGCTCTTCACATACATAGTTTTTATACTTTTGTATTTTTTATGTTAGGACATCACAAGTTTTGCTCAAATCCTTGATAGTTTTAGAGTAAATCGTTTATTTGATTATTCTGACAAAGTAGTTGACAAAAAGTTCAAACATCTTGTTTATAAAACGTATGGCAAATTAAATAGTTGCGTTCAGAAAAAAATGGAGACAAACAATGCTAAACGAAAAAAACTTGGACAACTCACATTTCAGTACATTGAACCTAAATGGTTGACAAATAGTATTCACGTATAAATGAAAATATATTGCATAAAAACATTGATGTCTTTGTTTATTCTTTGTTAAATATATTATTTTTTTTCTTTTTGAACTGCAATATTGTGTTTAATGGCTTTTTGAAGATTTTAACAAAGTTAGTTTGTGCTTTTTCATTTATGCAATGAAAGTTAAAACATAGTTGCACGCTATGCTGTGATTTCATACAAATTAAAACTTAGTTGCACACGTTTATCTTGTTACCATTTGAACAATTTATTAACCTTTTAAGTTAAAATACATGGATGGCGTTACGTTTTAGAAATATTTCTCAATAAAAACACAAGTTTTAAACACGAATACATTTATAAAACTTTTTCAAAAATATACTAATTTGTTTTTAAATTATAGTATTTATTATTAATCGTTGTTTTGTCGGAACATGTCGGAACATGTTACTTGTAATGACAAACCACTACTCTCACTTATTCGCAGACTTGAGGAAATAAAGCTGACAAGAAACTTGGAGGCTGTTGTCTCTAAGACATTTCCGATCATTTAGCTCAAAATGTTGCCACTAATTTTTTTTTCTTACGTAAATTCATAATATTTTTTTGCTTTCCCGATGAACACAAGACGTGTTTAAGACGTATTAAAACGTATTAGTATGTTTTATAAACGTATAAATTACGTCTTGTGCCAACTTCTTTAAGTGCAAAATTTTTATTTTAATTATCAATTGGAAAAAAATAAATAATGACAATTGCCTATAAGGTTGATGACTCAATCTTTAAACAATAAAGTCTTCAGTTAAATCTTTAATTTCTAAAAGTATTCTATATATCACGTTATTTAACAAAAGTATCCTATATGTTACGTTATTTGACAAAAGTATCCTATATGTCACGCTATTTAACAAAAGTATCCATATATCACGTTATTTAACAAAAGTATTCTTTATGTCACGTTATTTAACAAAAGTATCCTATATGTCACGTTATTTAACAAAGTGTTGGTTAATATCTTTTGATACCATCTGTTTTGCAATAATAGCGTACTGAAAAACTGCGTATTTACATACGTTTTTAATTTACAACACTGAAATCTAAAACATAACGAGATTTTTTATTTAAGAACATTTTAAAACGTTCATGCATTGAAACTTTTCAACATATTTTTCAAAAAATCTTGTCCGTATCTCCAAGGCTACCAACAAAATATTTCGGACTTACCATGTTTTTAAGCAGTATATACGGGAGAGTAGACTAAAACAATTCCCATTTAAAAAAATGATATAATCAACTAGCTACAGCCAACCAAAATTTATAAAAAAATATATTTAAAAAAAAATGAATTGCTCAAAAATCAATGCTTTTCAATTTAACATCAGAAATCTAAAAGTGTAATGATCCCTCAGTTTAAAAAACGTACATTGAAAAGTGAGATACTAGGGGCCTATATCACGCTGGTGTTTACCAAAAATGGGATCCTAATTTAGTTTTTACTAACTATTATTATTAAAAACTATTGCAGCATAATCACAAAACGATTGTCCTTGCGGTTGTGAGTAGCAGAAAACATTTAATTTTTTTTAGTAAGCTTTCTTTATAATTTTTTTTTTACAATATTGATTACACTGGTAATCTTGGAAGCCAGGTACTGTTCTTTTCTAACTTTTGGGTGCTGATTCCAAAAATACCATCAAAAATACCATTCTTTCTATCAGGTCAGGTTTCTCTGATATCCATACCACCTTTATGCACATTTAAACGCATTTTCAATAATAAAAAGTCTAGAAAATGAACCCTGGATCTTAAAGATATACAGTTTTCCTGTAATTCTGACGAGTATATTCCTTACTCAATTATTTTAATCCAAACTAAAGCTAACAAAACAAACAGTTTCTATGATAATTTTACGGTTAAAGGGGAAAATACAACCAACCAAAAATACGATGTTGAAAAAAAAACAAATATGTTGTTGCATACATATGCAATATAAATGTATACATATCATTAATGTTAAATTTCATATTATTTGTACTAATTGTGTATACACTGCATTTATTGCACTAATCTATTTCAGACAGTGTTTGGTATAGAACAAATATAGTAATTAAAAATATCTTGCGCACACTTGATTTGGTACAACTTAGAAACCTTTGAAAAAGGTTTTGAAAATCTACAAAAAAGTAATTTGAATCATTTCAAAGTAAAAGAACAATTGTTATTAGTTTGTTATCATTGTTATATACTAATTCAATATGAGCTCCAGAGGATGTGTAAACAACTCAGACTTGTTCTGCCACATTTGTGGGCCTTTTACTCCTGTAGGACATCGCAAAACAATGACACATTTGATAAAGACCGCATATTTTCATTGTTTTGGATACCCCATTGGTGTTCAGGACAAAAAACGAGCCCAACATACTTGCGGTAGTAACTGTTTTTTGGTGCTGGTATCGTAGTTTAATGATAGGAAAAAGCATCTGACATTTGTCATGTCTATGGTATGGCGTAAACAACAAAATCATATGAATGACTGCTATTTTTGCATGAGTAAAAATAATGGACTGAGCTTTAAAACAAGAAACAAAACAGATTATCCCACTGTAGCATCTGTTATAAAATCAGTTCCACATAGGTCCGAGTTGTCAGTTTCCATGCCACCCGTAGATAAGAAAGTTATAGCACCTTTAGATAAAGAGAAATCAGAACAAGAAAATCCGTCATCTGATACTGAATACCAGCCTGAATAATGTACGTCTGTACCTCATCTACTCAATCAGCAAGATTTAAATGATTTGGTAAGAGACTTATATCGTTCCAAAGACAAGGAAGCATTTACCTGTCACCACCTAATATAAAAATAGTACTCATAAAAGATTTTGAGAAAGCCATTGATGAAGAGAGCAATGGCTTTGACAAAGTGACGTCAAAGTAAAGAAGGGAATATTCCCTTTTTTACCAACAAATATATATTTGTTGGCCCACAAGTTGGAGTTCTCTTGAATGACACTGAGTTTCCTAATAAACTAAATGTTAAAGAATACAGAGTATGGAATGCTTTTAAAGATATATGCAAAAATTTTCTAGGATCATACAAAGCTCCAAACTTTGAAGATAAAGTTTGGAGAACTGCTGAGTGCATATCAAGATTTAGGTGGTAGAATGTCTTTAAAAGTATATTTCTTGGATAGCCATTTGGAATTTTTTCCAGAGAATCTTGATGCGGTCTCAAACGAGCATGGAGAACGTTTTCACCAAGACATTGGCACTATGAAGAAGCATTACCAGGGACGATGGGACCCCGGAATGATTGGCGACTACTGTTGGATGCTTAAGAGGGAATGTGAAACCCTGCACAGAAGAAAATCAAAAAAAACAAAACACTTTTAATCAGACATTTAGTTTCATAGCAGTAAACACAAAATATGAAGCAAGCAACGGACATCGGATGAACTGCATTTATTTTCAACAAAGGTTAGAGTATTATGTAGGCCTCATGGTAAAAAAAGCTACAATAATAGGATTTGGATGAAGATCTGAGTTTGTCTATTTATGTATTAAAATTATAAAATGGATAGTCTGTTAGAACAAAAATGTAAAAAAAAAATTTTTATTTTTATTTCTATTATATATGTTAATCATTACAACCATGGGTCAGTCAGGCTTAAATGGTATCAACCAAAGATACCAGGCAATTTTTTTTTTTTGCAAATCAGTGTTATCAATGTTTTGCTGAAAATATTATTTACAAAATTGCTTATCGAAAACCTCAAGGGTAAAAAATGTATAAAACAATGCGGGTAAAACAAACTTCGTTTTACACGCACTGTTATAAAAATACCATCACTTTTTTTAAATTCTTTCATAAATAATGTGAAAATTACAAGATAACATGTTAATATTTTTATATTAAATAAAAGAATGAAAGCAACTCTTTAAGTTAAAAGATTGTTTTTAAGGGATATTTGTTTAGTCGAATAATTTTATAATACATTTCTGAGAGTACTTTTAGATGAAGATTATCGAAGTAAAGCATTCAAAGCAAATGTTCGATCATGCAACATCAGTTTATCTTTAACATTATAGATTGGACTTGACATTGAAATAATGTTTGAAGGACCTCCAATTATGAAAGTACATGGGTAGGTTTATCAAAATTTAGGAAATTTAGAGCCAACTAATGGTGAATAACATTACATCATGCAAGTTTTGATACATGATGGAGACGAAAAACGTAATTATAGAGTTTGCACTAAATTTCATTGTGACTCAGAATTAGCTCAGTGGGATTCGGGATTGAAACAGGTTAATAGATTTATTACTGAACAATGTTAATGAATATAGTAATTGAATTTAATAAAAAACTAGCATGAGAAAACCCATATAAGGAATTTGTAATGACTTTGCAAGGAAAAGTGGTTAAGCGGTTTGGCATTTAAGTTAACAAAAATACATACAACGCTCCATAAGTAGCTAAAGTTTCATTCTTACTTCGCAATAAAAATGGCGAAGTTCTTGTTCCAAATCAAGTTAATAATCAGGTAATATAAGGAAAACCTTGAACTGTATGAAATTATAAATCTGATTTGGTTGTAAGAGTCTTTCATTTAAAACATCAAAAACTATTAGATGACCAAAAATCAAATATTTGAAAAATTAATACCATAGAAATATGTTATTGTATTCCAGAATAGAGGTCTTTCACACATACATAAATTGTTTACAATTGCTGCTGATAATAAAGTTAAAAATGCAGATGAAGTAGACAAATATATTTAAGCAGAAATGTCAAATCTGGAGAAAGAAAAAGAACTTTATGATATTTTTATACGAAAAATGGTCTGTGGTCCATGGTGAATGTTTAATATAAGTAGCCCCTACATGTTTGATGGTAGATGCTCAAAAAGATTTTCTAAACCTTTTATGAAAAATAACTGTAATAAAAAGCAATGTATATCCGGAACTTAAAAGAAACAGTGTAATTATTGGAGGTCACTTGAGGCAGTGTATGCTAGTGGTGAAACACGATACAATTACATTAAAAACAAAATATTTTGAT